CGGGGACAGGGGGACACACACGACGACGACGACACCATACCTTGTGGATGGTTGACAAATGTTGTTACCCAAAAATTTGGGATTTTGGCGATCAACTCTGATCTCTTCTGAAAGAACGGTTGGCGGAGTTTGTTATATTTCTGTTCTACTTTCAAAATCTCCTCACTGGCTTGTTCATTAAGTCTGAAACAAGTGAAAACACACTGATCATGACAGGATCTAATACATACAACTTGTGAGAGTACAATAAATTACTACTAATTAATTACTTATTCCCCGTCAGCTACCTATTTATAGTCACACTGTTTAATGTGTCACAAAGAAAGTCAAAACTAAGGTGGGATATGGTTAAGTTCCTCAACCTGCTTTCCTACCCTAATTCAGCTCAAGTGTAGTATTTTGGTAACACTGCATATTTACTTTATCCACTATTACCAAATCATTTTCCACTGTTCCCCTCAAGCAGGATTTTTCAATAACCCTCCTGGTCAAGTAACATTTTAAAGTAATGTCAGAGCAGCAATAATTCTGTAATGCTCTATTATTACAGGCCACATACCACAATTCAGACAATTTGTAATTATTGTAAGCAATACCAAGATCAATGTACGTCATCAATATTTGTGAGGACCACACAAAGGGCTCCACAGAAAAATACTACTGAATCTTTGTAGTATTTCCTAGCAAATTGATGCCAACAGTTGTGACTAATGAGCTTCAACTTAGGGTCAGCAGTCTGAATGACTATTAGGGCAAGAGGAGCCATTCAGAAAACATCTCAAAAACAAAATAAAATTTAAAAACCACACTTTACCTGTCTATTTCATTTTGTACTTCATCAATATGTTCAATTGCTTCCTGCTGTTCTTTTTCTGCAAGGAAAAGTTGCATAAGACTCAATACTAATCAGAAAAGAAGTAGGGGCGCTCTGGTGGCCTAGTGGTAAGAAACTGCACTGCAATCCCAGAGATATGCAGTTCAAATCCACCAGATGCTCGGCCAGAGAAGGAGGGGCCATCTCCTGTACCAGTCAGATCCAATTTGACTGTACACACGTGTACGTACACACACACACACACACACACACACACTAAAAAAAAAAGAAATGGAAGTTGTTTCTCTTAAACAATTACAAAAGCTTAACTAGTTTCCAGAAGTTGTGAAATGCCACTGGTATTGAAATAAATTCTATCAATAAAACTATTAAACAACAACACTTTCAACCAGAAGGCATGCTCTCCACGTGTTCCTGCATTCAGCTGACAAATCACTTTTTAATTAAAAGCTCACTGAAATCTCCCTATTTGTAGTATTTAAAGGGATTAAATACTTTCTATTATGGAAAAGTAAAAAAGGTCTTTTAAGTCTTTATATGGATTATTATTTATCACAGCAAACATTTGTAACAAAGTTAAAACTAGCTGTTGCCAAAATAGGGATCCTAGGCAGCCCGACACTAATAGATATTCGGGCATCACCCATAGCAGCCGCAGAATCACTTTTAAAGATTCCTGCTTCATACCGGTTACAATTCAGGCATCAGACATGCCCACAAAGACAGGTGAGGCACAGAGAACCTATTTCACAATTTTCAACACTCCACTCTACTTTTTAAAAACACGCTGCACGCCAGGATCTGAACTGGCCCTTTCTCAAGCACCCCCAATTCGGGCGGGCTTGCTGACTTCAGATGCAGCTCACACAATCGGGGAGCACACTTGAAACAAGAGGCAATTGGAAGGTCTGAAAACTAGTAGAGCCAGAAGGGAGTGGAGGAAAAGGGGTGGTACCAGGACTAAGATGCCCTTTTTGTCCGGTGAGGGTGCAAAACCTACCAACCTAAGTGGGCGTGAAAGGGCCTGATCGCGCGGTTCATTTCATTTCCGGCAACCATCCCGGGGTTCGCAGCCCCCCTACCGCGAAAAAACTGGACAGAAAAGGCTACCGGGCTCCCCGACAGACGTCTGGAAGCCTCCGCTCCCCCGGCCGCTCGCGCCCGGCCTCTCGGCGCGCTGTCGTGACCGGGTGGACGCCCCACGTGGGGAGGACCCCGCGATCGGCTCGAG